TAAATTTTAAAATTTTTATCAGTGATGGGTCCAAGGATGATGGTGGGGGAGGAAGGGACGAGGCTTGCACTGCCCCCTCCTCCCCAGAATTTAAAAATTCTAAAATATCTTAGAAATTGAGGTCCCTTTTATATATATATATATATATATATATATATATATATATATATATATATATATATATATATATATATATATATATATATATATATATATATATATATATATATATATATATATATATATATATATATAATATATATATATATATATATATATATATATATATATATATATATATATATATATATATATATATATATATATATATATATATATATATATATATAAAATTGCCAACCTTAAACAAAATGTCTGTATGGGTATATCTAACCTCATTCATAAAACCAATAGCAGCTTGAATCTCTTCTAAATTCTCAAGCGTTTTATTTTGTTTAGCCTCAAAGTTCTCCTGATAATGGTCTATATCAACAAAAACACTTTCTAAAAAAGAAAAAAAAAGATTTTATTCATTTTTTTATTTATAGATTAACTGATAAGTTATATAAAACAAAAAATATAACTAAAAAAAGCACCTAGTTTTTTAAGCACCTCATCTGCTTTCGATTTAACAAAGTCAAGATCTTTGAGAATATCTTTATCACTTTCTTTTTTAGCAAGATCTTGTGCTTTAATTTCTTCAACTAGAGCATCTAAAAATTCCAACAAGAAAAATATAAAAAAAAAATCTTTCTATTATTAAATTTTAAAACAAAGCAAAAAAATTGCCTAGCTGCTCATTGATCCTTTCTGTGTACTCTTCAATTTGTTGATGTCGATGAGCAATAATTTGTTTCTCTTTTGTCAGTGCAACTATGTTGGAGTTGATTTCATTTCCCAGTTCGTCTTGCTTTCTCTTAAACTCATTTTGCTTACTAACTAGAAGCTTGTGATTTATAGAAATCTGGTCAACAAATTCCTCTGTTGTAATTTGCAACTTTTTTTGACCACTCTAGAAAAGATAAAAAAAAGTAGATAACACGATCGACAAAAAAGTTTTCGTCAGACTAAATTTTGTGTGACCCAGATCTTTTTAGTTATTTTAAAGTGTCAATTTAAAATATGTTTAAAATGTGTCAATTTGAAAAATGTTTAAAGTGTGTCATTAAATAACTTTTGTCTTTAATAAAATATTAAATATGTATTTTAAATATAATATTTGCCTACTGCTTTAAGCAAATATTATGTTTGAAATATACTAACTAGTTTATTTATTATATATTATTATACTGTTTATAATAACTAATTTATTACTAAATTTTTAATTGGTTCTTTCTATGTTCTTTATAAAAAATCATTTTTTTTTTTACAATAATTAATCCAAATGTAATGTTTTCTATATAGTTGTCTCATAAACCATATCAAAATGTTAATTTAAATATTTCACCACATAATAGTTTTGGCATTACACATATACATTAAATGCAAATTTTAAAAAAAGTAAAAAGTTTAAAAGTTACTATCATGACTAAAAACTACTTTCACTTTTCTAAAGACGACATTCATTACCTTAATCTTGTTAATCATCTTAATCTTGTTATTTGATCTATAGCTATCAGCATGGGTTTTAACAGCTGTATAAGGACTAATGTTTTTTCTTAATAAAACCCTTCTAACAATATTTGAAGAAAGATGTTTCTCATGGCTTTTGTTAGAAGTGTTGGTAAGATCACAATAACTTGACTTTGGTTCAAAGTAATTTTTACTTGACAAAGTAATTTTTAATAAGTTTTATTAATCTTTCAGAACATGCATGATGAAGGATGGCAACTATCAGAAATTTTCAATCTTGTTGATATTTCTCTGCTACTGGTCATAAAGTCATCCCTCATACAAATTATTTGTCAGTTTGTTACTTTGCTTATACTTTTTGACTCATTACTGTTTATTGTTACTTTTAGAACTTATAAAAAAAATGCAAAAAAAGCTTCAAATGCCATTAAACTGGTCGTTATAAAGAATTTTATGCAATCTTATTAATAATCAAAACAACATAATAATAATCAAAACAACATAATAACAAACAGTTAGAGAAGAAAGCAGAATAAAAATCAATTAAAAAGTATGTATACCTAATTTAATTTTATAAAATTTTACTGTATGTTTTTGTATTTCTTTGATGAAATTGAATTAATAAAAAAGTAACATAAATTATTATTGACATATTAGGAAATCTATTTATGATATTAAAAAAAAATATAAATATTTTAATGCACCTATTTTTTAAAAGCACTACACACACAGAAACACACATACAAACACAAATAAAGTTGGAGCAGAAAAGTAATGAAAATTTCTTGCAATCAGTTTAATAAGAAATAAAAGTTATTCATGAATTAGTTTACTGATAACCAAAACATATGCAATCCAAGCATAACTTTCATTGAAAGAAAATTAAGCTTAAAAAACAACATTTATACTCAAAAACAATAATTTATTTAAAAATGATTCCACTGGTAATTATGTCTTTATTATTTATGATTTTATATGGGATTACACATTTTGAATATGATTGCACATCCATTTTTAATTTAATTAAAGACTTTTAATAGTAATTAGAGACAGGACCAATTTTTACAGAACCAATTTTTGTGACATCTTAGAAACCCTATAAAAATTAAATTTTTAAAACTCACAGCAAGACTTTGAAGAATGTTAACATTTTCTAAGGTTGCAGCTGCCATATTATTAACTGTCTGCTCAGTCTTCATGCGAAACTCAGCTTGTCTCATACTGTGACATATAGCACGTGCACGGTTACTTATAATATGATAGGAGTTCCACATGTCTGAATCCATGTCTTTTGTGCAGTCAAGAAGTTTCTGAAAAAATTTTAACACTTTAAACATACTATAATTCAAATATTTTAAACTTACTATAAATTCAAAATTAGGAGAAGATCTATACTACTAATAGTAATACTAACCATATCATCATTACAAGGGAATACTTTCCTTCCCTCTACAGCACTTTGACAATTTAAAAGATTCACTCCAAGCTTTGATAAATCTTCTTCACTCAACTTACTACAAGTACTTTTCAAACGATTGACAATCTGTTATAAATTGAAGCAATACTCTTTCAAACAAAAATAACAGTAACAACTAAAGACATAATTTTAATTTTTGTACCTTTAATGCAATATACTTACTAATAAATTGCACTGATCTAACATGGACAAATTTTCTAAATAATGTTTTGCTTCAGCCAAAAACTTTTGCTCACCATTAGATATTTCAAAATGAGCAAACAGTGTACTTACAGCAGTTACAGATTTTGAGCTACTATCTGAATTCGTATCAGAAATAGATTCAGAGGAGTCAGTATGGGATGAAAATGGCCACCAAAATCCATGAGCAGATAATAGAAAAGTGAAAGAAATTGTGAATATCAAAAAAAACATTTTTTTCAACTTCAAAAGTCAATTTTTATGGTATATAAAATGCTTTAATTAAAGCAATTATACTTCTTGTTTAAGAAAGCAAAGGTCATGATCATGATATTATCTCATGATTATAGCCATGGTTTTATAAATAAGCCAAATAAAAAAAAAACAGATTTTAAAAATCAAAGTCATCAAATCAATCATGCTTAAATGTTAAAAATCAAAAAAATTATGTTAAAAAGAAAAAAGAAAATCATGTTAAAAAGAAAAAAGAAAAAAAAAATCAAGTCAATAACAAAAAAATTAAGAAAAAAGTTAAGAAATTAAAATTTTGAAAAAGGCTAAACTATAAAAAATTCATACAATTGAAACAAGTATTTTATATTAACATAGATCATTGTTAAAATATGACCTTAAAATACTTAATAAAAAACTTGAACTTTGTTGTGCATTTGTAAAAATAGTTAAAACATTATTTAATAAAACTATTAAAAAAAATCATTGTTTATTATTATTGTGGAAATGACCATAGATAACTATGAAAATATAATAGGAAACCATAAATAACTATGGTAATTAGCTACTTAAAAATAAAAACACACTATTAGTGAAACACAGATAATAATGATTTTTTTAACACTGCGAAAAATGTTTGAAATTGTAATAAGTTATTTTCATTATTACATGGTTCGATGTTAATTTTACAAATTACATCAGGATATTCTCCCTTTTCAATATGCAACAAGAAATCAAATAACAGAGTCTTATCTGATTGAGTTGGTTCAATATCAGATTGTTGTACTTCTGGTTCTATAAGATCTTTTTTTTTTAAAACCCTTTGATTCTTTCTTCTATTTGTCCATGTATCCTTTTGAGCAACTATCCTAAAGAAATTTTCTTCTATAACGCATCTTTTAGAGCTAATCTCTGTATCTTCAGATAAACGTTTTAATGAATCTCCTGCCCTAATGAAACCCTCATTTTTTTTGATACCCCTGTCTTGCTCTAAATCATTTTTTAAAGTTTTATTTTGAACCACAACCTTTTTCTTATTTTCAACAAACAATTTAAACTCTTCTTTTAACAAGTTCAAAACAAACTCTTCGCAGCACAGCAAACTATCCTTTGATGTATGTTTACAATTAGGTAAAAAAACTGAATAGCGATGGTAATTTTTCTGTTTACGTTTCTTGTGTTTGATTTCAGTTTTTTGAAATAGTTTGTTAAAATAATATGGCAAATAATTTCCAGCAAGAGTAAACATGTGCACAAACAATTCTTTACCAGCAAGTGACACATTTTGTGCAACATTATGTGAACGCTTGAATGGGTCTTGCACAAGTATTGCACAATTTGTGTTTACTGAGTTGTGATATGATTCTAGAATTTCTTCCTTTAAAGCAAACTTTGATGAATGAATAACTATTGCAAGTCTACTGTAATCAAAGTTTTTGTAATATTCAAAGAAATCCTTTAACAGCTCACCTAAAAAAATTTAAATACCTTTATTAAACATTATAAAATTAAATACCTGTATTAAACATGTTATATTTATATGCATTATAATACATATATAACATCAGTATATATTTATTGAAAATTTACAAGTTTTGTAAACAGATTTATATTTTTCTATAATAATTTAATTTAAATAATAATTATATATGTATTAAATTATACATTAAATTATATATAATATAACACAAAAACTTTTTTTAAAAACTATTTAAAAAAAAAATGAAACCAGCTGTTCTTTGATTTTCACTAGCTTTCATCTTGCATATTTTGCAAAATGAACAATTCCAACCATAGATAATATCATCTTCCAAAACACAGCAATCCTGCAAACAAGACAATACAGGAGGAGTAGTATGCTGCAGAAAATGTACCACCATCAAAGTAAGAGCATAATTTGATAGCTGTAAACCACTTCGACCTGAAAGGTTATTTTGTTGACTCCAAGCTCTAACAGTAAACAACAATAAAGCAACTCTTTTGTCAGCATTAATGTATGTTGTTAAAAGTTCTGTATTGGCTATAGCTAACCTATGAGAAAATTTAAAAAAAATGGAAAATAAAACTTTTTTTTGAAACTTCATATGTTAAATCATGTTAAATTATAAGCTTCTGATTATTTAACGATTCAATAAAAATGTAAAAGTAAAATCAAAAACAAGTAGCAAAGTTGGTTGAACATTTTACTAGCATTATTAAGATTTATCATCAAGATATGACGAATCTGGAATATGCAAATAAATGTGTATATATATATATATATATATATATATATATATATATATATATATATATATATATACATATATATATATATATATATATATATATATATAATATATATATATATATATATATATATATATATATATATATATATATATATATATATATATACATACATATATATATATATATATATATATATATATATATATATATATATATATATATATATATATATATATATATATATATATATATATCAGAGTCTATTCTATGAAAAAATTTGGGCGGCAGAACACCCTTGTTTTGGCGCACTTTAGTGGAAAATCTGTATATAATATACATACAATATATATATATATATATATATATATATATATATATATATATAGTATACTATATATATTGTATGTAATTGTTCTATTTTTAACATATTATCTCTCATATTTAAATACAATCTTATAATTTTCTTGTTTGGCAGAGTTTAAAATAGCGTAATTTACTGTTATTAAAGTTTAAGTGGCAGTTGTAATAAGCAATTAACTTAAAGTTTAAGTGGCAGTTGTAATAAGCAATAACGTTTTTATTACTATTAAGATTTTTCTTTAAGCATATTTTTACTTAAAATGATACTTAAAAAAGTAAAAGTAAAAAAGTAAGAGAAAAAGCAACATTACATTATCTAAACCAATTTAATTAGTCAAAGAAAACTATATAATACGTTCATGCTGACGTTAAAACATGTGTTAATTTTAAAAAGTATTTAATTGTTAAAAGCTATAAAAAACAACATTAAAACAAACTGCAAAGTTGTTTTAAAAATATAAAGAGCTTGGGTTAATGTAAAACAAATTCATGACGCTGTTTCGTGTTGATTTATACAGTTTATAAAATAAAATGTCTTTAAAATAAAAGGAAGCAAGTAAATAAAAATGATCTAGTTAATAAACTAAAACAAAACATCATACTTGCGCCAATAGACCTATACAAGTTTATAATCTATAGACCAAACGAGTAAGATCAAAGCAAAAAACATTATATACCACGTTTTTTATAAATTATTGTATCCTGATCAAGCGTACTATTAAAAATTTAAGCATAATTATGCTTTTCATTCAAATGGTTTTTAAACTGATGTTTTCATTCAATTTTTTTTTTATTCTAATTGTTTTCCAAAAAAAAGTGAAACAAAAAATTTTGTTTATTAAATCGAATTATATTAAGTATAAGAATATGCTTAAATTATTTTTTTAGAAAAAAAAATTTATTAAATTTAATTTAAATTTTTATTTTAACTTGCAAATTGCAATCACTGCTTGGATGTTTGTAATAGAATGTTTCTTCTTTTAAAACTATTTTCAAGAAAAAATATATAATTCAAAACGTTAACAAAATTTACGATTTAAGAAAAAAAAACTTTCTTCTACATTCTCCCTTGTTTCATCACACTTTTTTTAAATTTAAAATATTTTTTCACAAAATTATTTGAATAAGTAAATTTTAAGTTCTCTTGTACAATTGAATTCCTGAAAACAACTTGTGTATTTATAGAAAATGTTTAGTCTAGATGTCGCTATAAATAAAATGAAAATATAAAAAAATTGGTGTCGCGTTTTTCATATTCTATTCGACAATTTTTGTTAAAATAATTATTAGTTAAAAGCTTATATGTGTTAACAACATGTAAGATCTAAATTGAAACATGTCTATGGCTAACTTTTGCGAGTATATTAAATAAATTAATATAATTGTTAAATTAATACTTGAGTTGCTGTAAGTTACTATCTTAACTTAACTAGTTGTTTTGATTTAGG